AGTGCTATCATCAGCACATTCTCCTCATTCTTCGGATCCTTCTTTGCAAAGTCCTCGTGACACTTAAGAATGGAAAAGAAATCGCAGCTCAGCAGACAGTGGACCTCTGCCTGGGCACGGTTCTTGTCGGCCTCCGACATGCCCTCCATGTCCACCACCTTCACTGCGAAGGACTCCCCGTCCGACACCCGCTTCCCGCAGAGGACAGTGCCCGTGGCGCCGGAGCCCAGCACGCGGGTGATCCAATACTTCTTTCCCTGCTCGCGTGCCGTCGCCTCATCCTTCGCAAAGGCATCGCTGAAGGTGCGGCAGACACGACTAATCATAGCATCGTTAGAAGGCATATTTACCTAGCGTCAACAGTGTATAGTGATTCTCTTTAGCGTCTTTACTATTATACTCCCTTGTTCCTTTTTTTTTTTTTTCTGAAAGAAGACAAGAATAAAAAAGTGTATAGTTTCCCATCTTTCAAAGTTGTTTTACATCTAACATGATATATCATATGGATATCTAAAATATTATTTTTCGTTACATTTTTTTTTTATATTTATATATGCAATTTTTCAGTAAAACAGATGTTTATCTGGGGATTGCCAGTGTAGTGGAATCGCATTCTCCAGAAAACCCCCATATAGGGAATGAAAAACGGAGTTTTTTTTTCCTATTTTTGAAGATGTTTCTATGCGTCTCAGTTCTTGTCAAAGTTAAGTTAGACACGACATGTAATTACTTATTTCCGTCAGACATGCCTTATTACCTCACCATTTATATACATATGTGTGTATATGTGCGGTGGGTAACTGAAATGGAGATAACAATATGAAAAGAAAAAAAATGAGAAAAAAAATACATAAATTAACATAAAGGAAATAGATACGCTGTATAGTATCATTCGTTTAAGTTATAATCGACATTTCCCTCCCTAATTGTAACATTTTCACTTCTTTTCTTTCTTCATACGTCCTGTGGCGCAGTTCGTCAGACCCTACGTCTAATTACACATTAAACGCAGATATGTGTTCTCTCCTTGCTTACTCCACATACGCAAACAAAACAAAAAATAATGAAGAAAGGAGAAAGGGGCGGATACAAGGAAGAAAAAAGAAAAAAAAAAAAAAGAAAATAAAGAGAGTAATCTCCGTCCTATAACTATAGAATTCATACCAATTCATTACGCGGTGATGACCACACCTCAGACTCTTTCTCTACGACCATCCTCACCTCCACCTTCGCTTGTGCGATACAAGATGTGAAGATTAACCGGCAATCGTAAAAATAATATCAAAGCAAGGAAACGAAAACAAACAAAGGAAAAAAAAAAGAGTACTCATAGATTTCCTCCTAACCAAAACACACAAACTTCATGCGTCGTAAAAAAGGAGAGATAACGTTACGCACTACAGTCATACTAGATGTGTATGGGGAAATAGCTACTATAGTAGAATATATATGAGTTGACACACACGTATGCACATCATAATCACCCACATCTACAGCAAAGCATATATATGTGAGTGTATGTAGATCCCATACACGTGTACGCGTCCATACAAACAACATACCATCAGAGAAACATCACCTATACACTCCCCTTCCCATACAAAAACAACAAGACACCCAAAACACAATTTATACTTCTACAGACACGCCAAAAAAGAAAAAAAATCATTCCGCCAATTATGTAACCAAGTCATTACATTGACTGAAAAACATTACCTCAAAAGCATATATTACCACAAACATCTACCAACTCACAAAAAATGAAAACCGAATAAAAAAAAAAACAAAGGAAAACGAATACTAACATTTTCACAAGAAAACCAAAACGACTATTTTTCGTTATTCGACAAACAACGACAAAAAAAAAAAAAAAACACAAGAAGTCCTGAAACACAAACAAAACCACTTCAGCTTCTACACAAAAATGAAAGAAAACCAAGACATATAAACGTTGTATATGCTTCGAATTACAGCTGTATACTCTATACTATGCAGCTATAAAATCCACAATAAAAAGAATAATGGAGACACCATTAATCCACGTCATCAATTCCCAATGCCTGCTGAATTTTCTCCATCCATTCATCTCGCTCCGGTTCACCTCTAACTTGAAACAGTAAACGTTTTCCGGTCTTAAAAGCAACTGCAAATACGTGCTGCACATCCGATCCAGTGTATTTGGCTGGAACTGGAAACACGTCTTCAAGCTCAGCAAAAGGAGTAGCAATACATTGTTGCTTAATCGTGTCTTTTGTCACGGCAAGAACCAAATTCAAACTCTTAAATTTGGGCACCTTATTACCATTGAGCTTTTCCCCGTCTTCCAGTACTCCAAGAATACACAGATATCGTCGTTTCCACGCCAGGTC